ATTCAAAATATTCTGAATGATTCAAAATGTCGGCGAGGCAGTGGCGCAGTAGATAGTGCTGACGCCTCCCAGCATGAAGGTCGCTGGGTCGCTGGTTCGAACCTCGGCTCAGTTGTCGTTTCTGTATGGAGTTTGCATGTTCTCCCTGCCTTCGTGTGGGTTTTCTCCGGGTGCTCCGGTTTACCCCACAGTCCAAAGACATGTGGTACAGGTGAATTGGGTAGGCTAAATTGTCCGTAGTGTGTGTGTGTGTGGATGTTTCCCAGAGGTGGGTTGTGGCTGGAAGGGCATCTACTGCGTAAAAACTTGCTGTATAAGTTGGTGGTTCATTCTGCTGTGGCGACCCCGGATTAATAAAGGGACTAAGCCGACAAGAAAATGAATGGATGAATGATTCAAAATGTCTGTTTATTTATATCTCTATGTAAGTATATGCTGAAGTATCCTTCGCCCAGGAGTCCTGATTGGTTTCATCTGTGACCTAGAAATGCTGCACTTTGTGCATTTGGTAGTTGTTTCTAAGAAAAGACCTCCGTGATAAGGATTTATGTCTTTTTGTTTGTTTAGAGAAAAAAAAATTAATAAAATAAAAAAAACATATTTAAGCAAGTAAACCTTTTATACAGACCATGAGCAGTTTCTCCTGCCTGTTTGCTGATCATTTCTCCACAACTTATTATAAAGTGTTACTGACTGTCTCTGAGGCAGCCAAGTGTTAGAATGAATGTCAGAAGCAAACAGTTCCTGCTGTAAGCCTCAATAAATCTCTGGGCTTGTCAAACAAGATGCACTAGCAGAACATATATAATACCCCATATTTTCCTCTGTGAACATTCTGCAAGGAATATCTTTTTCCCAGTTGCATTAAAAATTTATAAAAAAGTGCATAAAATAAAGAATTCAGGCATAAAAAAAGTATTCAGGCTAAACCACAAATGCAGCGAAAACAATGACAACGGTTGTTCTTCTGAGAATCAAAATATGGTCACAAGCCCCACACTGCTGGCATCACAAGTCTAGATGTCTGTTCAGTGAAGAAAGACTTCCTCCACTGAGAATGTGACTGCCGTATCACAGCGACAGTCTAGTGACTGCTGCCACATTATCTGTTACAAAACACAGAGGACGAGTCAAACATGCTGTTTCAGCATGAGACTTTCAGACTGCTCGTGCACAGAAGAGCCACGGGATTTACGTAAATTAAGGCTATAGAGGCAGAGAAAATTGGCTGGTACAAACTGAAGTCACAGTCGACGAAGAATTCAAAACAGCTTTTGTAGCTTTTGGAAAGTTCATGTTCTTGGATAACACAGTGACTATTCTCATGTTGAATGTCAAACAACCATGCACTTCATCACTGACAACTCGTGATGAACACACTGTGTGCTTCATATGAGGCAAATGCCAACTTCCTTTTCTGTATTGCATTTCACATTACGAAATAAAGATTATAAATAGGCAGGCATGATATAATGAAAGTGTGTGTGTAAATAGTATTGCGTTGTATGTGTCTGATTAAAAACTGTAGTTAAATATGACTGCATACAAAAGCTTTTATATTACAAAAGCTCCAGCTTTCTGGGATGAAAAATTGCTCTTCTTTTTCATTTGAGACAGAGCATAAATCTGCCGTAAATTTCTGTCAGCTTACATCCTCAAACTGTTTTGCTTCTCAATTCAATAACCTGTGCTCTTAAGCAAGACATTCATATTTTCAAATAAGCTTTATGCAGAATTATGCCTTACAGCCTTTATCAAATGAGACAAAGGCTAAATTGGCAAGAAATAAATAGGATGCTGAGGTTAAATAAGGACAAAACCTTGGCAGGAACAAAGACTATGGGGAGTCATCATCATCATCTGGCAGACAAATACTGAAACATCCTTAAACCTTTTACATTTAGTTTCTCCTTCGCTTCCTTTGAGAGCAGGTGTAAAAATGATTTATCTTCATATACACTTATGTTTCTAAATGCATTGTGTAAACTTGATAGAAAGTACATTCGCTGTAATGGTAAATTGCATGGCAAATACCTCCCCATCCTTGTTAGCTCTAAATCAAGGGCGTGAAGACAGAAAAAGCATCAAAGGAACCAGGCTGCTAGTGAATCCTCAAATCAACTGTAGAGATGTCAGAAAGCTTTGACATGTTAAAATGAGCGAGGATCTGCTGCACAAATGCTATGCCTGCTTTAAAAGAAGCAACATTCCTTGACTGTGTGTTGCCTCAATCCTATGAGCAGCTGCAGTTAAGGGCTAACGTCAAGAATGTTTTAATACAAGGGAGCCCCAAATGCCATGATCCCATTGAGAGGTGCTCCCTCCTAATTGTGTATTAGAAATATGAGAAAATTAGAAAAATGAGAAATATTTATGAACATGATGTTACTGAAATGATAATAGTATTCATGTTATAATATACGCCTTTTTTATGCAGAGTGTTTTGTTTTTGCTGTTGTTTTACTTCAGGTATGAAATGACAACAAAATGAATGAATAAACACATTTTAACTATAAAAAACTATTTCTATAACTTTGTTTTTCAGACAATCAGACAAATACATTAATATGTTCAAAGTTTAACTAATATGTGTCTGTATAAAATCAAAATTTGCAATTTATGCTAGCTTACATTGTTATTCTTAATTGAATAGTTCATCCATGCAAGTTAATCCACTGACAAAAAATAAATAAAATTCAATCAAAGTCTGACCATTTTCTTCCACATTTGGAGTGGCAATGATGGCTTTAATAGCAACTGCATCAATTTTCTTAACCACCTCCCTTTACCATTAGTTTGCTATGACAGAATTTTGACAGAAAGCCAGTACTCAATATTTTGTTTCAGTTGGAAGAACATGGACATACTGAAATAAAAATTTCTGCAGCTTTCGGCTCTGATCACCTACAACAGGCACAGTTCTGCTAGTCAAAATCTAAACTTCTACAATCTGCCTCTGCCAGTTCTAGTCTCAACTAGCTGCCTGCCATCCTAATGGATGCCACTGCCTGTTCAAGCTAGTCTCACATAGCCATGGCTTTAACTCAGCAGCATAAGGTCTGGTTCACATTGCAGCTTATTTTGGCCAAGAACAGCCCACTTCTACAGGAAGAGACTCAAATTGCCTAGACTCAAAGTGCCTTTGGGGCATTTTCACGCTTGCACATTTGTAGCAGTTGTTTCAGCTTCTTAGTTCAGTTCATTTTGGCATAGACTGCATGTAAATGTGAATCAGACTTAAATCTGCAACAAAACACTCACCCCATGATAAAACTGCTTTGAAATGAGCTTGCAGTTTGCTTGTTATGAGAATCAATCTAAGCCCAGCAGACTATTAAACCAGGCTTTATCACAATATATGACAACAGTGATACTTCTTATACAACAGCTACATAGAAAGCCTCAAAAAGAGCTTTATTGCGAGGTATGTCCACACATATGTGGAATTTGTTTTTGTGACGGAGCTTTTACAGTGCAGCAGAATTACAGAGACTGGACATAAAAACTGATTGTTTTTAAAGCTTGTGGTGCTACATAAGCTTGTGGTGCTATGGTTTCTCTAACTCGAAGTAAGACAGATATGAGCAGAATGCTATAAACAGGTGCACAATAACCCATAGATTGAATGTGACATTTGATTCATTTAGAAATGTTGCCTTGTGGGAGTGAACTAAACCAAGAAGAAACAGCAAAGCTATATCAACTGTAGTCTCAGTTTCAGAACAATGTCAACTATACAGAGGTGTTAATGGCCTTTAGACGGGTCATTTGAAATTTATTATACCACAATAACAAATAAGCATAAAAAATGCAATTGTGCTATCTAAACTGTGAACGGTTGTACAAACTATGAGTAATTAGAGTTATAAAAATTTTTGCCTTAGCACAACTCAAACACGTTCTACATGATCGTTATCTCTTCGCCAAACATGATTAATTCAGTTTATTCAGACATGATTCAATTGGCTTATCCAGATGTGCTCCCAAACTGTCAAGCACTTTTCTTTACACACATAATGTTAAGTATAGAGAATGAGAAATGTGCTCACAGCTCAATGCATTCTAGGAATTTGGATCCCATTGACCTCTGAAAGTTGGTGGATCACTTATCCCCTGGTTTGCAATAAATTGCAAGCACTCACACCACAAGTAAAGAAGATTTTATTTTCTCTAGGAAACTCTTCGATACTCTGTTACTTATGGATAAGCTCATTGATTTATTTGAGCCAAAATCTCTTCATCCGTGCTCGGCTTATCTAGTTTCACTTTGGTGATGGAGACCAAAAAATATGCAATTACCATTTTCCACTTCTCAGACACACAGACTGTTTTATAATCAATATAATTTTACATTAGTCCAATTTATTATGAGTGTTTGTAAGATGTTTTTCAAAAAGTGTAACTATAAAACTGTCTGCTTTTTCTGTGGTGATTTGCATTGGTTTTTATTATGCTCTCATAAGCATGTCATGCCAGAACACAACTCATCATGACATAGATTCCCATTCTCTATTGACAGCCTAAAGATAATACTGGTTCTAACCATGACACTTCTATAGCTGTTTATGTTAAAGACAGTTAAGTTCCTAGCAGGTCCTTAACCCAAGCACACACTCAAAACTTCACCACAACAGCAAACCTTTCAATAAGACTACAATAAAGGTAAAACTCAAAATGCAAGTCTATACACTTTCTCATCTTACTAAAAACATCCATAAAATGACACTTTAATTTAATATTTACACACCCTAACTGCCACTTTAAAAGAGGTGTAATGAAAAATAGAAATATTAATGTCCAAGCTAACTGATTTAAAATCTCCTTTTGAAATGAGCATAATGAGTGTAATTCTGTCAGCCAATCAAACTGGAGCTTGGAGTTTTCATTAGTGTGTGTAAAATGCATTCAACTGTGAACGGTCTGTGGGTGACTGAGAACAGTTCTAACCTCAACAATAGCTGAACATCTTGAAAGCTGGAAAAGCAGCACTATGAACTTACTGAAACCTGCCACTGCCAGGATGAGCGTCACCACAATGGAGATCCAGGACACCCACAGGGCTTTCTTCCTGTAACTCTGAGCCTCATGAGGCTTCAGGCGCATGCTGCTTTCCAACAGACCTGTCAAAAGAGCACACAAAACACTGGTTAAAAGCCATTATACAATTACATGAAGTGCACCGGGGTAACAAACAACGTGGGCTGATTATTTACTCACCGGACCATGACAGGCATTGAGCCTAGGGTAGAGATATTAAAGAGCCTCTATATGTCAGATGCAAAGAATGGTAAAATGAATCTGCACTGCCAGAGCAGCAATCCTTCTGTGTTTAATTAGCGGAGCAAAATGGTTTCAACAAGATTTAGATGACACTAATAAATCCAGTTTATCATGTATCAAGTCAGAAAGCATACGACTTTAAACGTCTGTTTAAACAGCCCTGCGAGATCTTTAGCTACTGGAGGATGTGACAGAGATAATACAAGGCTTGTTAATGTTAGCTACAACTAAAAGAATTTAACTAAAACTATTTTGTTGCTTTAAATAAAAATGTCAATATCATTGTAAAAGATATCCTGCTATGATATACCCTGAAAGGTGCAGTAGGTGATCTGCCAAAATGCTAACCATTAGCATAATAGCTTTGAAAACACAGTCCCTCCCCTGTCGTCCAAAGCCACAGCTCCTGAAATCACAAACTTGCACAATAAAGATGACAGTAGACAACCCACTAGATCATGTCATTTGTCAGTTAGAAATTTTTATAGTCTTTAATAATAATAGAATTCCAAACAAAAAACTGTATTGTATGTAGCACATTTTCAGTTGTGTAGCAAGCAAAACTTGTGATTATGTGTAATATTTCATGCATGCAAGGATCTCTGGTCTCATTCTCTCCAAATAACCCATTCATAATACAACAAAATCAACAAAGTTTTGCATTACTAAAAAAACTTTTTGAACATAACCTGTCTAGAAGAAATGAAATTTTTTACAGTCATGGGGCTCTATTTTGACGGTCCATGTGCAGAGCGCAAAACGCAGGGCGCAAACGCTTTCAGGGTGTGTCAGAACGCATTTTTGCTAATTTACGGACGGGAAAATCCGCTTTGCGCCAAGGCGCATGGTCTAAAGGGGTTGAGTTTATTTTCTTAATAAGTTATATAGTTTATTTTGAGAATAAACCAATTAGAGTCTCATCTCTCATTCCCTTTAAGAGCCGGCTGTGTCTCGCCATAAGCACATTCGCTATTTACAGGATGTAAAGTAAGTGTAAGTGGAAAAAATTAGCATTTCACAAGCAAACAGTTTACAGTTAACAGTTTTTTTTAACAGAAAACTGTTAAACAGAGCATCTACTGCGTAAGAATGAGAGATAATGGATCACTTTCATTTTCGCTCTTGGATAGGGAAACCTTTAGGCACAGACATCAATTAGTCTATAAATAATTAATTGCGTTTGTTAAGCGCAAATATTCGTTTCAAAACTATTTCTAAATTCAGTTCTAATTTCTAGCAAACAAATAAATGAACAATATTAACGAAGTGTGTTCAAAAACCTGAGTTATATCCTAAAACACATGCTGTGCCCCTTATAGTCTAAAACCTGACAGGTGGGCAAATCTAAGCTTGTTTTTAATAAAACAAATATAAATATGGATATAATAAATAATACTGCTAATAATAATAACATTATACAAAAGCAAAATGTTATGAATGAACTAAAAAAGCCTCCCGAGATGAAGAAGACATAAAAGCAGTGATTTTTCATATTTATGTAGGCTAGAAAATAATGTTTTGTAATATTTTAACCCTTTATATTTATATTCTATATCTATTCTTATTATATCCTATATATATCCTTAATATTTAATTTTTTTCATATGTAAAGATATTTGCCTATTGCTCTCTTGTGCGTATTAAGCCGTGTGTAAGCGAGGCGCAACTCTGCGCCGGAGTTTAGACCGGGTTTGTTTTGGTCTAATGAAAAATCAATTTTAGTTTCTCAAAATTGCAACGCGCCTGCAGTGCGCCTCAGAACACCTTACTTTTTAGACCAAAAGGCCTATGGGCGCACATCTGAGCGCAAATGCATTTGCTATTTAAACAGCGTAGCGCAACGCCTTAAAACGACTCTTGCGCCAAGCTAAAACTACCAAACAAGTATTGCGCCGCGCCTTGCGCCACGTTGCGCCGGGTGTATGATAGGGCCCATGGTGTCATCCTTCTCTAAAAATTAAAATTGCAAAAGTAACTCCACTATTAATTCAGGATTTTAAAAAGTTTTGATTCAGCATTAGTTTTTACTGTTGTCCTTCTCTTTCTCTTTGTCCACGCCCAAACTGCGACAAACTGTCTGCAAAAACAGGGGTGTGCAGATGTACAAATATACATTTATTGACAGACAGTTTGGGTTATTTTTTAGAACTATAATAATTATTGCCCTGTCAATTTTTAATTGGACGAACATTTTTTAGTCTTATGCCTTACCCAGAATATAAAAATACATATAAATACATTAAGATCATTTACCTAAATCATTACTATTAAAATGTGAAGAGACTTTCAACCAGCACAACAAAAATGTTTCTCAAGAAAATCACCTACTGCACTTTTAAGGCTTTATTTTGAATAAGGAAGTTTTACATACATAAAGATAACATTCAAATCTCTTGTAATGTAATGTATTTCTCAACTTTTTATTTCACATATCTTTGTTGAATGAAAGTGCTTTTATCTTTAACAAAGGGTAATTAATAATCTATATACAATGGTGAGCAATAACTTGACAACAAAATCACACGGTGAGATGTAAAATTATCAATTCAGAGAAAATATGTGACATTATCTTGTGTTTAAAAAAAAATCCAGAAGCACACTTTCACAGACAACAGCACAACATACAAACTGCTAGTTCAATGTTTAGCTGTGGTCTCTATCTAATCCAGGACATGCAGTTTTCAATTGATTGTATATACAGGACAATGCATCAGTATTCCTTCAACAGAGTCTTTATCAGACCATTTTTAAAGATAAAGACTACACCACAGCTCACAAATTTAACTGACTGCAATGATGAATGAGAGCCACAAAACCTGTTGACTGCCTATTTTGTAGTGTCCAATATTGTACTGTGCTTGCCAAATAAGAAGTACTCAAATATGCCTCAGTCAACTGTTCAGATAAATGGCAGCTATGTGATTGTGACAGAGAGTGGCTGTGTTTGTCATGCACACCACACTGCTCTGTTAGCCTGTGGAAGTCACATGCTGAGGGTTAGGAGCTGAGAGCCAATAGGTGGTCCGTCAGAGTGATTGTAAAGAGCTGAAAAAACAGAGCTGGGGAATGTCACATGAGTTATTTTATCAGCCAGGATTTGGAGCGTGAGATCAAGTCTGTTACATAGACTTATGTATATTTATATATATATTTTGCTATTATTTTGCCTGACTTCCAGTGATTTACCTGTGTTAAATGGAGTAGATTAAGTGACAATCCAAGTAGCGCTGTACTTTTTTTTTTCTCCTGAACAATTTCACCTATAAATTGCTTTTATTGTTGTGTGTGTTGGGGGGTGGGGTGTTTGAATGGTGTCATGGTGGCGCAGTGGGTAGCACGATTGCCTCACAGCAAGAAGGTCACTGGTTCGAGACCCAACTGGGTCAGTTTGCATTTCTGTGTGGAGTTTGCATGTTCTCCACGTGTTCGTTTCCTCCGGGTGCTCTGGTTTCCCCCACAGTCCAACAACATGCACTATATGTGAATTGGATAAGCTAAATTGCCCATATAGTGTATGTGTGTGAATGCAAGAGTGGGTGTTTCTCAGTGTTGGATTGCAGCTGAAAGGGCATCCACTGTGTAAAACATATGTATGTTTTACTTATATGTAACATAATAAGTTGGTGGGTTATTCCGCTGTGGTGACCCCTGATTAATAAAGGGACTACTCCGAAAAGAAAATAAATGAATGAGGAGGTTTCCAAAAAATTCCCCTATTAGACGGTAAAGTCTTGATCGGATATACATATCAATATGGCAGCATTTTTATGACACTATAACAATAATACATATATTTACAGTACTGTGACGGTTGGGTTTAGGGTTGGGGTAGGGGTGGACGCTAAAAAAACACTTTTTTGGGTAATTTAATAGATAACATAAGTAATACTGGCGAGGCAGTGGCGCAGTAGGTAGAGCTGTGCAAAATTTTATAAATAATTTAAATAATTTTCATTAACTTCTGGCTGCAGCCAAATCTGATCTAGGAAAAACCCTAATAGACCCTGCCTTGTGTTACCCCTATTTACAGTCATTGGTTAGCCCTCATTTGTGCTATGACATTGGCCATAACGTAAATGGGAATTCGTCCAAAAATGCACAATCTTTTCAGCTTTTTAGTGTGGGAGGAAAGATGTGTTTGGCTGTACCATCATTGATGTGATTGTCTGGATTATTTTTCATTTCTAACTACTGGCATCCCAAGTGGGTTTTTGCTATTTCCTATTAATTTTGTAGTCACTGTGTGGACCACTTTATTATTTTGCCTTTATTTTGTGATTATTCGGAAAGTTCCTGCTGATCTAACTATTTTTTTCACCTCTTAAATCATCCAGTAACAAGCCTATCATATTGAATGGTGACAGAGTTTGCTAAAATTGTAAGAGCCCTGGTCATTATGCTGTAGAGCTTTCCTGCATAGTGGATCTGTGTTTGAGCAAACCCGTTCGCATTCTGTGGGATACAGGTTCAAGTCTTTCACTTATCATTGAGTGAGTATTCAAGGCTTTGCTATTGAAGTTATGGACGTTCCGTTACACAAAATATAACTTCAGTCTGAATTGATGTCAGGTGATATGGTAGTGGGTATTTGTCAATATCTTTCATTTCCTGTAGTAACATTCATTTTATGAATTGACTTAACTAGATGTAGTGTGTGGGTAGATGTGTGTGGAGTCATTCTAACATGTCACATGAAGTTGTTTCAGTAACTTTTACTGCTGACACTGATGATTGCGCAAAAGCTGATCTCATTCGTATGCATGCTAAGGAGGATGCTTGTCAAGATCATGATGACTTGTCTTTGTGTCTCAATAAATTAATAGCTGCTCAAAGGTTAGAT